ATGCATCTGTGTGATATGTTAGCAACGAGGATATCAAATTGTGTGTAAGTGGAGTTCTGCGCTATGTGGTAACACACGAACTTCAAGAGCATAACAGCTGTACCATTCTTTCCTATCATACTTCATCAAACGAAGTATTGCTCACAGAGTGCGTGTCATGGGCCATCTAAATCGATTCACGTGATGAATATTTCTTTATATTTCTATACTGAATGCACTACTGGGTTGATGGAAGCCCATCGGGATTCAGACATATTGGCAAATTAGGGGAGAATTGCGGGATATCCGTCTATATTTATGCGAAAACTCTCCAAGGTCTTAGGAGGTTAATAAACTTCCATCACTGTTGCGTCATCATCACAACACAAATTGCCTAGCTGACAGAAAATCCGGTGTCCAAAATCTGGACAAATACCACTTTCGCCAATAGTACGGAATTCGTTCGGTTGACTAATTGAAGAAGCTAGCAAACCGGAAACAAGCATTTTTTAATTTTTTTTTCAAAAGTTGTGACTGGGCCAACATATGTGTACGCGGTCATATATCGTTCATCATTTCCGGTTTGTAGGTTGTCGAGAATTTAGACGCGACTACCGATTGTAATCTTGGGCCCTTCTCAATGTGACTGTCCGAGAACCTCAAGCGAGAATAAAAACATGAGTTGGTTTAGCTTCCTTTTGCGACCGGAAGCAAAATGAAACCATTCCAGACAGGACGAAACAAGTTCTACACATTTTAATACTCGGTGTGTATATAATCTCCTATAGTTCACCTTTTATTAATTCGGTGTTGGCTTGTCACTCGTAACATTTTAATCGTTGTTGTGGTTGGATGTTACATGTGCCTTAAGCGCATCCTGTCGAGCGCACGTTTTTCCACATTTGTCGCAAATGTATGGAACTTGCGTTTCGTGCTCCGTTCTCATATGGCGATCCAAATTCCATTTTTGGGAGAATACCTCCACACATTCCTGGCACCGTTGGATTTTTTCCTTCCGGTGAACGCACCGCTGATGTTGAAGCAGAATGTCCCAACTTGCGAGGCACTTTCCGCATTCGGAACATGGATTTCCACTTTCCTGTGATTCTTGGACCCGTTTGCTGGATGGTCTGCCTCGCCTGTGAAATTCAGAATTTCCGTACCTCCTCTTATGATCATTTAGATTTCGCTTACTTTTGAAAGATGTTCCACACACATTGCATTAGAAGTCGGAAGTTTCTGTGTGCGTTGTTATTTGGTTCCTCGGACAACAAGGAGAGTGGTTCGCTGCTAATTACACGCTTGTAAGTGTCTTTCTGGTCCTCTCGTTTGTTCCCATCTTCCGTCCCATCTTCTGACGACACTTCGTTGTCGAATGCTGGTAAAAATTGAAACAGGTGAAGAAATCGATGCCCGTTTATATGAGTTGTCATGAATGCAAGAGTGCAAACAGCTTTGGAAAGAGAGATGGGAACGTTTAATCGAGCCACTGTGTTGTAAGTGCACTTTATCTTCGTTGACATCTATATCAACCCTGTTGGTAACTTTGAAGAGCGCAATATCACAATTTGCGCAGTGGTGCATTCTAGCAACCTCTGATTACTACTGAGCGCCAAACCGTTCGATGGCGATTAACCATTCCATGGTCTATGCTGCTCATATAGATACAACACGCATTTCCACTCGTTTTTTACGTACGAAATTAGTTGGCCTAGGCTACATTTCCGCTGGCAACAAGGTTCCCCGGTTTCGAGCCGGAACGAATATGTAATTCGAGAAAAACCCCGTGGCGGGGTATTTACACTTTGTTCGTAGCATATTGCAGTCTGTCAGCATGACTTTCGTTATGTGTGTAAACGTAAGAAATTTGTATGGCAAAGGCCGGAGTTCAGCAAGTTACCGAACCGAATAAGTTTGTTGCAGCCCCTCTGTTCACTGAACTTCCTTGTGAATTTCGGTACCACGTTACCTTTGCACCAGAATGAGGATTATTTTGGAGAGAAGCCATGTTTCATTGTTTTTTCGCTTCAGCCAACTTATCAATTTGGTGGCCTCTATTCCTACCTGGAATTACCCAAGTCAATGCACGTACAAGGCGTTGAATCTCTAACGCTGTTAGGGAAAAATAATTAGACCATGACAGCGTCGCACACAAAACATGCCAACACACGACGTGAAACTTAAAACTTGATTCTATGACAAAATTTAAAACCCTCCTCATGTTGACGTTGTACGACGTCTCATCAGGCACCAACGAGATAGTTAGGCAAAATTGAGCAAACCAACACAGCAACGGTGTGGAACTGAGCCCTCGAAATCAGGCATTCAAGTCAGTTTCAGGTAGCATGACTACTTGTAGGTAGAGTTCACTGGTATTCGTACAGTTGCGAATGTGGGTTGACTGGCAACAAGTCAAAACTCATTCAACGAAACCCAGAATCTGATTTAGGGATCAGGATTAAACTAATTATCTCCGGGATCGCTTCGAGCAGATTGTCGAATTGCAAGATCCCGTGGGTTCTGAGGGGGAAGACTTATACGGCACAATCATTTGGTAGAAAAATATATCCAACAATGATTTGATATATCTTCGGAAGCACAATAATAATGACTCACCCAATGTGGCGTAATCAGGCTGCCCAGCCCGTAGACTGGAAGAGTCAAAAAATATCATTTCAAAAATATGGACAATGTTGAAGCTTTTGGTCGAATGTGTGATACTGCAACTCAGTGCGAATTGCACTGTGAATCGATTAAAGTTCATCTAGATTTGTTTCTCTACAACAAGCTCGTAAATTTGGGAGTCGAGATGAAATAGACCGTCAACATTGAGGTCCCAATTACATATAATTCACGAAGGAATAAAGTGAGCCTATGGTGTGCTGCGTGAAGAACATTACTTATTTTGTCGTGAAGACCCTCAAACAAATAAAAAAGAGCAGAACTCACAATCATTCTTGACCGCCGCAATATTTGCTGTATACAAAAGGGTCAAAACTAGTTCGACGGTGCTCATCTTTCCGTAGGTCCATTGAGACCAGCCACTGCTACCATTTTATAGCTATGGTTGCGATGGTTATGTCGTATTGGGGCGTGTGATGTGAGTTTTTGATCACGATTTCTCACATCTTGCGATCCGTGGGAAGAATGAAGAACACTGTGTGTTGGTTGTTGTATAAAGGGAGCTCCCATTCAATTAACTGGAAGGTGGAATAATTAGAAAGATGACATTATGCCGTGGACACCGAAGACAGTTTATTCTAAAAGGCGCTCCTCCAGGGGCAAATGAAGTACGGTTTGGAAAGGATGTTTCTTCGATGCCCGCATCGCTCCTCACAGAAATCTCATTAGGACGATAGGATGGAGCGGGAATCGACTGCCCAATTGTCTTTTGGTTCATCGATTACAATTGCGAATTCACATAAGCACCGTGCACTTTCTGATAATTTCTAAAAATGCGACAGTACACTGAGAAAATGCGGAGCCCGAATTGACTAGCTTATCTCAAATTGCCCGCGGACATTGTTGGGTGGATGACACTCAGTAACTGGAGTGAGAACGAGTGCGTTGAGCAATGATGCAATTTATGTGGAACTGACATAAATACTCGGCTTAGATCAAGAGAAGGCCTGAACTCGGACGCCCGAAAGAGTTTGAAATACGCCAGCAGTTCGACAGGCTGGGTGTTTTCGTTATGAAAAATGACGGTTAATATGTGGGATTGATTTAGGTACGTGATACAGGTGGACGAACGTGAACAGTTCTCCACGACAGTCACTTGAGCAAAATCCGAGCTCAGAATAACGTAGGCTTCCCTATTATATGGGTCGATCAAGCATATATTGGTTATACCTTGTGGTTCTCTTGTTCCTCTCGACTGAGTACATAGGGCATTCTAGGATATACCAGTGGGAAACAAGTGTGGCTTGCTCGGCAGATGCATCCATCCAACGTTGGAAACACACGGGACTCGGAGACCCGTATTGGTCAAAAAGCAGGAATTTAAAAGCCGAACTCAATGGTTCAAGGAATCACAGCTTACAAACGACGGATTCTTGAGTAGTATCTCCGTTCACTGTTACTCACACGTCGTCCGAAATGTGTTGATTCTAGATTGCGTATTTTGATCTGTTCATTCTAGTGTAGACATCGGATGTTTGGGCTCAGAATAACGCAGAATTCCTTATTATGTGGGTTGAGCAAACAGATAGAGTTCATACATTCGGGTCCGTTTGTTTGTCTCGCCTGCATGAATAACAGTGGGGGGCAGGAGACCCTGGGATGGAACAGTTGTACACCAAGGTGGCTTTTCGGCATCTACATGTATCGGTGTGATAATTGTGTGTAAGTGGAGTTCTGCGCTATGGGTAACACACAAACTTCAAGAGCATAACAGCTGCACCATTCCTCTCTCTCATACTTCATCAGATGAAGTATTCCTCACAGAGTGCGTCTCATGGGTCATCCAGAACGATTCGCCTGATGCATATTTGTTTACGCAACGCACTATTGTGTTGATAAGAGCCTATCAGGCTGAAGAAATTTTGACAAGTTAGGAGAGAATTGCAGGATATCTGTCTACGTTCATGCGAAAACTTTCCACGGTCTTAAGATGTTCCTAAGCTTTCATGAAACACGGCTGTATAATCGGGGCACAGTCCAACTCCTGGCGTTTCAGCACTACATCTCAGAGCACAGAATGCAGCAACGCGAGTGTTGTGGACTTGTGGTTGAAAGATTGCATTTCACCGGTTCGTTCGTCCGAAGGCTGGATGTTGGTATCAGGCCAGTGATGGCCTCAACTTAGAATGTGCAAAAAGGGGCGATGAGAAGTCTTTTCGAACTCGGCAGAGAGAGCATCGGGAAAGTTAATGGGAAACAGACTACTTGGGTATGAGGTACACATCACCTATCACCCGCTCCGATTTTACGATACGGTTGTTGGTTACTGACCTTCTGCGGTTTGCCGAAGAGGAAATCTATAAGCTTTGGATGCTTTGACGAAAGTGCTGCGCGATGAAATGGTAGGACCTCGTGGGCCTGATGCCATCCGCATTCTGTTGAAGAACGAGTTAAGGTGTGCCTAGCGTGACTGTTGAGTTTGAATTGGGTAATAGCCATTTCCGGTGAATTTCATTGCTGACTACGCAATTCATATTTATGAGTGCACAGTTTATCTTGGATTCCATTGAGTTGCAGCATATTTGAGTTTGACCACAGATTGACTCGACGCAGCTCTCCATGTGGATACATAAAGCATAATTCACCAATCCCCGTTATCATGATTTGAAACCCCGTGAAATGGCCATTCGTTTGAAGGCTTGTTTGTTTCATGAATATTGAAAATATATTCTCAGTCACACCATCTTTGTTTGGAATAATAGGCGAACTATCCGCTGTCCCAAGTCAGCACCAGTTTGCGACTGAGTCCTCCAAGGCGGACCTTTGAGTCACATTCATGTGTGATGGCTGCTTGCACGTTGAGTTTTCCAGTATCAGTACAGGTGCGAATGTAGACGACCTGGCAACAACTCAAGACTCATTCAAGGAAACCCAGTATGTGATGTAAGGATCAAGATAAATTTGCTTTGTTTAGGGCTACTTTTGAGCAGTTTGTTAGACTGCAGAAACTCGGGGCTTCTGAGGAGGTGTTGGGCGTATTTGGCTGAATCATTTGGTGGAAAAGATATATTTAAACTTCAAGTGAAAAGTGGATTTCATAACAATGATTCACACTACGAGGCGTAATTTGAAAACTGGTTGCTCAGCTCGTAAACTGGAAGTGGCAAAGAAGTCATCTGGCATTTATGCACGATCTTCAAGCTTCTCGGCGAATGTGTGACACTGCAACCAAGTACGAACTAAAACTTGACTTGACTGCAGTTCATTCAGCTCCTGGTGTTGTGGTTGGAGTTGGAATAGATTATCTGATTTGATGTCCGAACTACATAGGATTTACCAGCGAATTCATGGTGCGTATCGTGTGAGAATAAAGCTACGTGTTATGAAGTTAAGTCTCTTAAACAAATTTAAAAAGGGCGCAACTCTTGGCCACCACGAAATTCAATGTATACAACAGAGTCCAAAGTAGTTGAACAGTGTTCATTTTCCCGTTGGTCCATGGAGATCTCGCCACTGGTCTCCTTTTTATCGGTATATTTCTCATGGTCATGTCCTATTGGGGTGTGATCTGATCACGGATTTTCATTAAAGGGGTCTGGAGTGCGATGAAGTACATGGTGTGTCTGTTTCTGTCTAATGGGGTCCTTTCCCAATTAAGTGGTAGGCGAAATAATTAGGAAGATTTCGTGATAACCTGGAAAACAAATACAGATTTTGAGAAAAGGGCATGGTCCTCAACGGGTTTCAGCAGGTTTCCTTCAACGGATCCGCAAACCGAGGGTTTCAGCGAGGGGAGCAAACATCCAAAAATAAATGAGTGCACTTTAAGATACTTTGTTTATATGATCCCACGCACGCGAACTTCGTATTCAGAATGCAGAAACCGGGGGTGTGCAAATCGAAATAATGGCGCAGCTATATTGGGGGAGGGTTTTGGGTTCATTCTGAAGTATGAAGTAGGTAACCCAACTTGAGTTAGTCGCAGCTGATTAATTTAGCGGGCTGCAACTGAAATCCTCTTTGTGACAGGTGGAACTGGAGGGTTACAGAAGCACCGGTCCGTATAAGAAACCCGTCAGTGACGCACAGCAGAACACCGAAGGTCCGAATGAACTGGTGGATAACTCAACGAAGGCAGGACTAATTCGAATCCATTTACAAAGGCCGAAATTATGATCATTTATTTGCAATCAGCTTGGTTTTGATGAGTGAATCACCGAAATACACTCCGAAATCAATTTTTCGAAATTCTGCTTTGCGCTCATTCCATCTCGTAAGAAAGGGGCGCAGACGTTTCTTTCCCGATGCACGTGATTAGCGACCTCAGAACTCGAAAGAGATATATTGCTAAGTCGATCCCCGAAGTAGGTAGTTTAACGTTGACATTCGAATTCGTTAGAAACGTATTATATCCTTCATCGGCAGCATATGGATGGCATCAGGCCCACGAGGTCCTGCCATTTCACCGCGAGGAACTTTGGTCAAAATATCCAGGTTTTACAGATTTCATCTTCGGCAAACTGCAGGAGGTCCGTAACCAATGAACGTCATCTACTAGAATGGCCTACTTGTATCATCCACGAGCAACTGATGCTCGGTTCCAACTTCGCTCCGCAGATAACTGGCTACCGACCCGTTTATGCCTCTGAACCTATTCAGATGTCTGACTGAACTTGCCACAGCGTCAGGTTGGAGTATGCTTTCTGGCATACGTTGTGGTCTGGCTGATCTACCAGTCACTGAAATACAAGTATGTGCTAAAGTCTTCTTGCGTCGACACAGCTCCGAATCGCCAACAAGCCCGAAGACTCACACCACAGCTGTCCACTTTGAAAGCCATTCCATTTAGCCTGTATTTTCACAGCCGATTGCATACGGGCGTATAGAAATTTCGGGTGACATTATGCGTCCGTCACGAAACACAAACAACGCTGTTTCGCAAAACGTCGACAGTGTACATCTGCATCCATAGTTGCCGATGGCTGACGTTTCAACTCGTTCTTTTTCCGTTGAAATGAACCAGCTTCGCCCACAGTTACCCGTAACTCGCGGACACCTCCAACTATTTTGTAACACTTCACTGGTTCAACTCATCGTTCACAAAACTCATGAGCGTTTCACGCTTGTCAAACGGGTGAATGTGTATTCATTTATTGCTTCACCGCAGACAATACATGCGTTTCACCGTTCCAAGGATCGATGGTGTATTCACTTGTATCTCGTGGCGTTACTATTTTCACGAATACTCGTAATCACAACTCGCAAAATTTATCAACAGCAGGGCTGCTTGAAGGTTTTTACTTTAGCTAAGTAAAGTAACGGTGCCTTGAACACTAGATTCTATTGGATTTCTCCACAACTCGTGTTTACGCGGTTCAGGTCGGAGTTTTCCAAGACGTGGGCTTTTTTTTCTTGCGCTCTATTCCGTAATTTCGCACAAAATCGACTCTGGAATAAAAGCATACAAAAGTTATCGAAACGAGAAGCGCTTTTTCTTCGAAATCCACCTCACTGGGAATAAAATTTACAAACAGCCAAGCTCTCACTATGCCAGTAATCCAACACGGCCCAACTGTCCTTACGCACCAATAGCGGCATTACAGCTCGGTACACGTTCCTTTGGATTGACATGTCCCTCAGGTTTGTTCGAGTTGCTGTTGATTCTACTGTTTCATGCTGTGGCAACAAGCTGACAGGCGTTGAGTCCTTGTTCATCACCATTGCTCTTTGCGCTGCTGGAGCTTCTAGTGTCCAGCGATACCGCGGGAGACAGCGAACTAAGACTGTAGAACAGTTGGGTTTAAGGCCGAGGGATGTCACATCTTGCGTCATTCGGATAGAACAGTCGGCTGTTCAGTTCTGAACTTGTGTAGAGTCGACTGCTAACGCATGGTGGTATGGGCGTATGTTAGCACATGTCTGCACAATTAGGATATGCGACCGGGCTGGTCACAATCAGCCCACTGAACTGGTCATGACCCCTTAAGCTCAGTTGGTTCGTGTCATTTAGCCTCTTTCAGACAGGCTTCCAGATTTTCGTTAAAAGTGTCGAAGAGCGTACGAGTAGCGAAAGTGAATGAAATTGATTTTGAACGTACTGATCGGTCTTGAAGCGATCGAATTATTTTCCGCTTTTGCTGTGGATAAATGTGAAACCCAAATTCGGTAGATCTTGATTATATCGGTCTCCTGAGTAATGAGACTGTCCGATGGTAGCGAAAAGATCAAAAATCAGGAGAACTTATGTCACCTGAGAACCATTTTGTATCCAAAAATACAGCATGGTCCTCAGCTATTCTAACCTCACTGATACAATTCGCGTGTTCAACAAACTGACCGACCATTTCGATTTGATCAAGGTCGATTTGTCTCAGCCTTTTCAAGGACACTCGCTGTTTGAAACGTTCAGAGCACAAACTTGTGAGAGTTCACAAGAACACTGTTGCGCAAATTTCACTGATGGGTGTTACGGCACTGGCCAGGCTGAAATGTCGCATTGAAAACTAATCCCTCCCCCCGAGCAACACGTCTAAGTGTAACCAGAGCGAAAAATACTTGCCATTACTCATGCCGGGACAAACTAGTGGATAATACGTTAATCAATCATCAACCGTTTAACATATCATGCCTAGGAATAAAGCGTGGACGCATAGGTGTGTCTGGAAAACCTATTGGGATTTCCAGCCATCCACTAATTAGATTTTGGGCGACAAAGTTCGGCAGTTGGAGACATTCTGTATAGTGCTCATCGGTCAGATGTCCTCATATTTATTGCAAAAACCATTAGTTCGAAATTTTCCAAGCGGCGAATTTGGTGCGCCCTCTAACGACATTACGGGGCGGTTCGATTTTAATGAAGGCCCTCCGTACACCAATTTGAAAAGAACGGATTTCCAGACTAGCGCCACACGACCAAACAGTGAATTCCTTAGAACAGGCGAATTTTGCGCTTAGAAGAGGACATACTTTCGTCTCAAATTCAACGACAATCTTGGTAACCCGAAGCTTGAATCATGACACGATCAGATTCATATAATGCCAAGGACAGCTGAAAAGTCAAGTTTTGTCCAAATCGTCCCCAGAAGACATCACGTGAAGTTCGGGAGGTGACGATTTCGATATGAGCAATGTGTGCGGATTCAATTAAAATATCATTCAGAGGAAAAATGGATCCCTGGGACAGGCGAATGCCAGATATCGCCATGACAGCCACAGATCGAGCTGTCCTCATTTGCGCAGGCAAAAATTTCCATTTCCCACATGATAGGTCTTAGCGTTTCATAAATGAAAACGTATTTGTATATATTGGCAAATAAAAATGAATGAGCGCTGGTTCATAGAATGAATCGGATTTAAAGAGCCTTCCTTTGAAACTGGCCGATAACTATCCAGTTCAGCTCTGGTTTTTTGTGGCTCACCTATTGTGTCACTATGAACAAAATACCTATCCACAAAACCCCAAAACTGCAGCCAGTGTGTTTCAAGCGTGTGTCGCGCTATATGACTGGGAAGTCCTGAATGGCAGGACAGTCGATCGTCACAACCAGGACAGTTACTGGGTCGTCGTTCGATGAGTTGGCCACACCAATCGCATCGCTCAAGTGTGAACACGTTCGCCTGTTCAGAGGTGATAATTCAGATGCGCACAAGGTGCGTTGGTGGAGTAGTGGTTACACGCTCGCCGCACAGGTCAAATGCCCGGGGTTCAAAAATCCCGGCATGGTCATTGGATATGCACTGCTGATGAGTTCTAATCAGAGCGAAACTCGAGTCGGGTGTTTCCCTTTGGTGTGGACTCGCCGGAATAATTACGCCAAAACAGGAGGACGACCGTTCGAACGAGAGAGTAATGTGACTTTGAACAAACTACCTATCCCGCCAAACATCAAAGCTGCTTACCTATTGTGTTTACTAGTCATGCTGGTTTTTCTGGGAACCCAAACAACCTCCTTGCTGGGAAACCTGCCCTTCTAACAGAGACTATTTGTGACTGTTCCATGATTGAATAGGGTTTCATTGTGATGCGGGACCAAATATTAAACGGGCGAGTCAAAAGCAGTCAGTGGTATTATGCCGGAGGCAATCAAGGAAACCCTTTTCGTTCATCTCACACCACGTTGTAACATGGTCCTTTTTACAGTGATCGATGGAGAATGCACCAGATTGCGATGCCAGTATTTGATTGAAACTAGTGGTCCTCATCGCTCGGCAGTCATGAGGAGATGCAATCGCTCAGAAATCCAGACCAGATATTTCTCCTTAAGATTTCAGACTGGAGAGAAATCCGTCTTTGTAATGCTTAAGAGGTGGGTCGGTGGACCGGTGATTCAAGATGATTGATGTGTGATGGCGAGATACGAGGAAGGGCTAGTAAACGACCGCACTGCCGCCCTCCCCAGATGAATTGGCGTAAGCAACTCAAGACCCACAAACATGAGGTATATTTTAGTTTTATCACAGGTTTTAGGCGAAAGTAATTGAATGATCGAGTACTTCACAGGAAGCGAACCGGCTACCTGTAAGTAAGCGATATATCAATGTGTCAAGAAAGTGGGCAAAAGCTGTGCAGTGACACATGCACTATTTTTTTTTGCAGGCTAACACAAATGTATGAATACTTCGAATCGACTCCCCGTGGAAAGATCTTACTACCGAACTACTGTCCGGGCATGCCCAGACAGAAGAAAAAGCACATGTGCAGAGAGTGAGGCATCCTCAAGGTCACCATCGGTTGGGGACTCTCCCTTAACACGGGCTTAGCAACACACGACCAGCGTAGTGGGCCTCAGACTGTTCACGACCGGAACACCACCATTGGCTGTACGGAGCGAACAAATGAACGACACTATTTGGCCATTTAGTCCTCCTATTTATTTACGCAGACGCTCTTTACGTTTCGTCCTGACAACACAGCCGAGTTCTCCGTCTTCTCCCTATCGCGTGGTCTGGCAGGCTCAGAGAAAGCGTAACCAATAGACGGCCACCGCACGAAACAACACTGGCAGATGAGTGTTCACAATGGCAATTTCATTCGAACTGATGCAGCCCCTCCTCAGACAGCAGCAGCAACAGTTTGAGCTGACGCGGTTAAAGCTCATCGAGACACTTACTGGAAAATTGTCACTACAGTAGCCGACTATTCAGACCATTAAGCCGTCCACTTCAGTGATCGACAAAATGCTCAACGCCCGTCCTGAATTACAGTTCGATCCGATCTCACGCATTACTTTTGATTCTTGGTTCAACAAGCGTTAATACGTTTTCGTAGTGGATCTGGGAGGCGGAGAAGATTCTTGGAGAGCAAGATAGATAGACAGGCCACTGAATGCTATCTATATTCAAAAGGCTTCCTGACTCGTTTCGGAAGAAGAACTGAGGAGGTCGCAGCCCGTGAACTAAGTCTTTGTCGTGCCACCCTCAAGCAAATGGCCACGCGGAGAGATTTGTGGATACTTTTCAAAGAGCACTGTTTAAATCTCGAGTCCACAAGTAGATAAACGAGGGAAACGTCCTCACAGTAGTACAGACCGAGGCTGTTTGGCCGTGTAGATAGACCAATCGCTGAGGTCACCGTCAGACGACGGATGGTGTAATGTGTTGCTCGGACGAGAGAATTTTTGGCTGATTCAATCGAATATTGACTTCCTGTTTCATTCTTCCACCAAAGGTCGGAACCTATTATCAGTTAGCACAAAGGAGACTAGTTTCTCGACTGAGTGTTCCCCATTTCTCTCGGTCAAACCCTTTCCTTGCCTGAACAAATTGATCTCCGCCTACCTCATGTATTCCATACCAAATTGCAATCGCTCACTAACATTTGAACCTTGACATGTGCAACCAGTTTCGACGAAACATTTTTTTCGAAAACGATATCTACTCATTCGGTGCCAAGTAGTTATCACAGTTTCGACGAACCATTCATGCGCTATTTCGGACCATTCGCGCTACCACGAGCTGTGCGCCCAAGTTTGTCCCTAATCAAATAGATTCGACGTTCTCGATACGCAACCTTGGGACTTGTGCCATTTCAGTCACCAACAAAACGGAATTCCCTCCAAGGTTAATACTGGGTTTCATTGATAAATTTCAGGACCTCGCACGTCTTGGCTCGTGATTTCGCTCGCTACCTCATTGTACACCGCGGGTTCCACCTTGTTCGCAAATCAAAACAGAAACAGAATATATCGGATCTCTTTCAGGTTGCAGTCTATGCGGACGGTAGCTCACAAGCATACACCGAAAAATGAAACAAACCAAATTCCTGTCTGGACGATGGAAAATTGGTGGGATTCAAACAGAAAGTAATACTGGGTATCATAGGTACGACACATTTTGTGGGTGTATACTAATTAGTCCGCCTGTTTCTCATCAGTAGGTCGTTTGTCGTCCGGCTGATCGGTGTGCTTACTTGCAACATGTCTCCTGAGAATATCTGATCGAGTGCAGGTTAGGCCGCATTTCCCACACATGTGCCGGTCTTGCGTTCCATGCACGGTTCTTTTATGACGATGCAAATCGGTTTCCGGCGGAAAGAGGCCCCACACTCCTCGCATTGTTGACGTGCTTCCTCACCATGTATCCTTTTCAGATGCTGAGACAGAACCCTCCAACGTGCAAAGCACTACCCGCATTCGACACATGGATTTCCCTGTAGTTCTGATTCTTGCACTCGTTTACTGTATCTTCTGGAAGGCTTTTCGTCTCCCAAAGGATGAAATCGTCTCATGTGTTGCCGCAACCAACGTTCATTCCGGAACGACGTTTTGCACAAACTACACTGAGTGTGGGCATGTTCAACGTGCACTTCATGGTGTCTCTTAACTGGTGACAGATGACGGAGGGATTTACCACTCACCAAACACTTATGAGGTCCCTCCGGATGTGTTTCTCTACTCGGGTTGTCCGGCTGATGAGCGCTGGAACAGTCATCATCCGATCTGTTTGCTGACGGCGTCTAGTATTCAACTGTTGTTTGAAGAACGGCGGTGAAGAAAGGAATGACGGTTTCACTACAGTTCTTTAAGTGGCTTTTATTGAGCTTCAAAGCAATTGGCAGATGGGCAAGGTTTCGTTCAATTTCACACGACATTTCCAACGCTCTAAATAGATTAGGAAATTCTAAACTGGCGCTTTGTCCTGTCGAAAAGCCGAGAATAACTGCGTCGCTGTGTAATCCTAATTCGGAATTATGAGCAGTGTACGTTTCACGCCTCTTCAGAGAGATGTAGACTCACGCGCCACTCATTAATCTATTACGATAAGCATTTGAGGTAGCTACCTCTCCACCGGCATCATCCGTGAATTAGTGTCGGCTTAAACACACTCGTGATTTAAAAATCATTCTTCCCCTTTATCTTCTTTGAAATCGTCAATAATTTGATTGTGTCATCCATCAAGTCAATTGAACAGGTCTATATACCAAACAGTGGACCAGAGCTCTTTCAATCTGGGGCGATGAACTTGGTTGAATCATTCTGATAGGCCGTTTGAATTTCAACTATGCATCTCCGAGATTGTAACTTGGCCGAACTTGGTCATCATTTGCTTCATTGGTGCTTGCAAAATGCCTGGATATTTCCCCCTGGAACCTAGGGACTCAATGCTGGTATCGACGTACCGGAAACAGTTAAAAACAACCTATGGAATACGTTCCAGTAGCTGAGCGACTCAAGCAACTATAGTGGGCATTACCATCACCAGCATTGAAATACTACTACAATCGTACATAGAATAACAGCGGTACCGGTGGGTACTACTGGCGAGACATGTAAGTATCGAGTGTTCTCGTAAATTTCGCTTTGCGTCTCCTGAAAAGTGAGATCCATTGCGGAAGTTGTGGAGTGGATTTGTAACAGCTGCTTGCATGTGAGTAACAGTCAATGAATATCCAGCGTAGTTCAGGATAACGCGCTCAAGAAGAACATAGTTATTTAGTTGTTGTAAACAAGATGTATACGACAGTTGCCCTTCCCCGTCTACTGGTCTATAACTGTTCAGTTGGTACTTATCTGATAAACAACTTCGCAGCCAAGGCCACCTTCCCTACGCCAGTAGTTGGAAGATCGGAAAAATTACTGTACTCATAATCGAAAATGGACTTAGGTCCTCTCATTATTTAAGTTCACGACAAGCTTTTTTCCAGGAGCAGTGCTATCGTATCTATAGCCAGTGCTCTTATGGGCTTGCTGCTGAGAGCGTCTTTCGTGGCCTTTGCCGACTGGCTAATATCTAACATTGTCTGACGTTAGAAACCAGAGTTCACCGTTGAGGTGAGCTTGAGACCACTGTGAGTTGAGGCGAGAACGTCCGGTACGGGAATCGTTTTTATCTGTCCTAGCATAGTTATCTGGAGGGGAGCGAATGATGGCGTTGCATAAAAGCTTGTTTAGACCACTGTGTATACAATGAGAAGCATGTAGGTGTTGATCCTCAGGTGTCCTCACGAGGAATATTCTAGAATACGAGATTCGTGCCTTTAAGTAAACACGTCAAACAGAGCTATATCCCATTGTGAGTGTCGTTCTTCACTGAATGCTTAATTTTCTAAAGGCCTGGCGTGAATTCACCAAACGAAGAAACTGATTCTTGGGTGAGTTTGACGTTGTCACACTTTTCAACGCAAGTGCAAATGATTCTTGGTCAATCGTGCATTCACCATTTAGAGTTCCTGAACCAAAGGTCGCTAATACGCCCTTGCTCATATACATCTGCTAAAATTTCACGAAAATCTGTGGTGGATCTGCTGACCTGTCGCTGAACGTTCACACCATCTAGTCATGAACATGCGTGTTGCCTTTAAAATGGTAGGAAGCTCAAAGTTCTAGCCCTGCCCAGATGTGAGCAAATGAACCGGCGTATGGAAAAACAATTGTAAAGCGAGATTCAAAAGACGTTTTCAGATAAAACGTGGATTGAGCTCGTGACCGCTTTTGAGTCCTGACCAAATGAACTATAAATAACACGAAGCTAAGCTAATTTGTTAACGTCGCTTACCAAAATGATATCAAGTAGTTCCAAGCATTTAGAGGAATTTTTGATCATAGGATGAAACTTGTGATTAGTATTAAGGATATCTGAATTGGGTATGGCCCCGGTATGATTCAGTTGACATTTGACGCTTGCGAGCTTGCCACTCCAATTGGCCCAGGATTGTTGAAGGCTAGTCGAACACTACCAGTGAGAAGTTGCAGGGTTCTCAAAGTTGGTCCCTTCAGCTAGCAAGATGAAGCAATCACGAAGTAAAGTGAATGGAACACACCGCTGCATTTGCCTGAATACCCTTTATGAGGACACACCACACAACTCAACGTATTTCGCTGTAAAACAGGCTGCTTCGTAGTGCATTGGGAGGACCGAATAATTTCCGATATCAAGAGTAAACTCACGATTATTTTCGGCAGTCACGTAACTAGCTATATACAACAGCGTCAGAGACAATCCGTTGATACTCATCGAAAGGGAATTCGACGTGTTTGATAATTCGATCAGCTCTTGTTGCGCGTTTTATAATTTTTTCTTATGGTGAAATGAAGGCATGTTATCTGAGTTCACCGATCAAGTTCATCGATGTCACGGTTTGTAGATGAATGAAGGCAAAATCGCCTTATTAACTAATCGGATTCGGGAGACAACTCCTTTTGTGGATTGCTTATTAAGGTTGAAAGCGAATCAGCTGGTCGGACAAATGGATTGGAGAAAACAAAT